CGCACACCTGGTAACCTCACTCAACCTGACGGAAAATTTTAAGCTCACAGCTCTGAGACTGGACACACGCCAAGCTCATTACAAACAGAGCCCCCTCCACCAGCTCCCATCTCTCTCCCTCTCTTGTCTCTCTCTCTGCTTTTAACAGGTTACACCCTCTCTGCAGGAGGAACCTTTGGCCTCCACTGCGATGAGTTCTGTAATGGATAAAGCTGGGCTTACACACGCACACACATACATCTTGGTTTCAATGAAACCAAAGGGAATCATGCTCCTATAATACTGCTGGATGTCCCCATGTACCTGAAGCCCTGATGGAGAGAGATAGATAGATAGATAGATAGATAGATAGATAGATAGATAGTTTATAACTTACTACATTAAGAAAACCCATTAAACTTAAGAATGGTCAAAAGAATTTGTTTTAATCTTGTTTTACAAACTTTATATAGCATATAAATAAACTGTTTGTACAACAAGACTGAAGCAAACCTTTTTGACCATTCATTTTAAAAAAAATTTGTACTGTTTTTATATCTGTCCAATATATCAGACAGTCAACAAATGAAGACACTCAACTTCAACACCATAATAAAAATAAAATGAAATTACTTCACATCAAATTACTTTATAAAAGCATTACAGAAAATGCATTTTGTGACAAAATGTTCAAGAATTGTGTTGCATTAGCTCATATTAATTAAGCAAATTACACAAGTAAACAACGGTGCTTTTTTTAGTATAGATGGATGGATGGATAAATTAAATACGAAATGTTCTATTAACATACTAAATTATTATTAAATGTAAGAATGATCAAAATAATTTGTGTTTTGGATATTGTTGCACCTTTTAAAATGATGCGTCCTTAGGCCAAAAACAGAGCCCTTGTTAAATGATATCACTTGCGCTGTCAGACATGAGTGCAGGAGAGCTGAACGTCAGTGGAAGAAAGACAAGCCGCAGGTGTCTTTTGACATTTTAAAGGAGACCTGGAATAGATAACCAAAAAACCCTTAAAGCAGAGAAAACAAAATATTTGTCTAATGTTATTCTTAATAATTCTCACAAACCTAAAGCACTCTTTAGTAAAATTAATGCAGTGCTAAATGCCTCTCAGCATACTTTTTCTGATGTGTCTCCTGATACTTG